ATCCTGATACCAAAACCAGACAAAAACATTACAAAACAGAAAGCTACAGGCCAGAGTAACTTCTGAAAATAGATTCAAAAATTCTAAACAGATTTTTAACAAATCATATCCAACAATATATAATAAGAATAAGTCATCATGACCAGGTGGCATTTATCCCAAGAATGCGGGTTGATTTAACATTCAGAAATTAATCAATGTAACTTACCATATTAACAAATAAAGAAAACCATATGATGTCAGCAGATACAGGAAAAAAACAGTTACCAAAATCCAGCATCTATTCCTGATTAAAAACTCTTAGCAGGGTGTCCCGGACAGTGCAGGGTCTTGGAGGGGGAGTAGGGGGCAGCTGGCCAAGCATGGGCTGACCTACAGCATCCCCAGTCTCTCCAGGACTGCCTGAGTGGACAGGCCCCCAGACGGCTGGCTCAGCGTGTGGGACTCACCTTTCTGAGGCCCTCTTTGGGCCCGGAGCCAGAGGAAGACCTGGCTGGGGGAATGATAGGCTTCTCCTGGCTGAGTCCCTCTACGTCTAGAAGCCAAGGGCCCAGGACAGAGCCAGACCCTGTGAGCTGAACCAAGAGAAGTATTAGGCTGATGACAACATGAAGATCGTCTGCCTAGGGAGAGCACCATGGGCAAGTCCAGATTCACGGCGAGATTTCTCATAGATGGATTTCAGCAACATCAGCTGTCCACGTACACCCTGACCCTGTGTAATCACACAGCCATGGTGGACGGTAAGACCACCCTTGTGGACTTTGAGGACACAGCAGGCCAGGAGTGGTTCCAGAGCACACACACCTCCTACCACAGGGCCCTCGCTTGTATCATGGTGTTTGATGTGCAGAGGAAAGTCACCTACGGGAATCTGACCACCTTGAGAAGTGGAGCTTTGGAAGTTCGTGCTGGAGATCCCATGCATCAGGTGGCGAGTAAAATTGATGGTGACCCAAAAAAGCTTCAGTTTTGCCTGGAAGTTCTCCCTGCCCCTGTTCTTGGCCTCAGCTACACTGATAGTACCATCACAAAGCTTTTCAACGATGCACTGCGGTTACCTGTGTCTTAAAAAAGAACACCCTGTACACTTCATGGACGAGGTTTTGCAGGAGTTTCAGAACTTTAATTGGAAACAGGAGGAGTAGGATACACCCGACTGAGAAGCAGTGGGGCAGCAGTGAGAGCCCACTCCCTCCCCAGTCAGAGAGGGGATCTTCCCGCCAGCTTGTTGGGGGTGGGGGCTTTCCCTTCAGCAACTCAGTGGAGAAAAGACAGCCTTTTCAACAAATGGTGCTGGAACAGGTATATATCATATGGAAAAAAAAAACTTGTGTGTCCATACCTTGCACTATATACAGAATTAACACAAAATGGCTCAGTGGCCTATATATAAAGCAATAAAACTTCTAGAAGAGAAATGGTGAGGGGGAAGTTTGTAACCTTGGGATAAGGCAAAGATTGCTTAGATGTGACACCAGAGCACAGTCCACAAATGAAGAATTCATAAACTGACTTCGTTAAAGTTAAAAACTTCTGCCAGAGTGAGAAGATATATGCGAAGGGAGTTATGTCTAGAGTGTATAAAGTACTCTCAAGCCAGTAACACAATTCAGTAGTGGGTCGGGCAGTGTGTAGCTCAAGCAGTAAGACACATGCTTGGCACGCACGAGGTCCTGAGTTCAATCCCCAGGACCTCCTTTAAAAATAAACAAGCCAACAGACCAACCTAATTCCCTCCCCTCCACCAAAAAGTTAAAAAAAAAATTCAGTAGATAAATGGGCCAGAGATTCTAACAGACACTATGCCAGAGAAGATATACAGATGGCAAATGAGTACATGAAAAATGCTCAACACCATTGGTCCTTAGGGAAATGCAGAGTACAGCCCCAGTGAGATACCACTGTGCACCTGTGGGAATGGTTACAATCAGATGATAAAGACTGGCCATACCATCTCTATCGAGTCACCTGTTGATGGACGTTTGGGCTGTCTCCATGTCTGGGCTGTTGTAAACAGTGCTGCTGTGAACTTTGGCGTGCAGGTGTCTATTTGAATTAGGGTTCCCTCTGGATGTGTGCCCAGGAGTGGGACTGCTGGATCCTACGGTAACTCTGTTTTTAGTTTTTTGAGGCACCTCAATATTGTCCTCCACAGTGGCTGCACAAGTTTACATTCTCACCAGCAGAGTAGGAGGGTTCCCTTTTCTCCACACCCTCTTCAGCGTTTATTATTTGTAGACTTTCTAATGATGGCCATTCTGACTGGTGTGAGTTGATGCCTCATTGTAGTTTTGATTTGCATTTCTCTGATCATTAGCGATAAAGAATCTGAAAAAATACATAGGTACATATTTGTATATCTGAATCGCTTTGCTGTATAACTGAAACTAATGCTGTAAATCAACTACACTTCAATAAAAAATAATAATTAAAAACAACAACAAAAAGACTGGCTATACCAAGTGTTGGCGAAGGGGTAGAATTTTCATACACTGCTGGTGGAAATGTAAAATGCTACACTCACTTCCGAAAACACTTCGGCAATCTCTTTAAAAAGTAACCCACGCCTATCATGTTAGCCAGCCTTCATAGCCATTGACCCCAGAAAAGAGAAAGTGTGTCCTTACAAAGACCTGTACGCTGTTTGTAGAAGTAAAGAATGTTATTTTTAGCTTGATTCATTACAGCCAAGACTGGGACAGAATACGAGTGTCCCATCAACAGGAAAAAGGATAAGTAAGTTGTGGCATATATGTGTATATATATAGAGAGAGAGAGAATATGTACACCTAATATATACACATATATTAATATGTAATAGTGAGATATAATAGTGATATGTAATAGTGCTGTTACATAGCATGAGAAGGAAATGAACTGTTGATGCTTGCAGCAACGTGGATTAATCTCAAGATAATTGTACCGAGTGAGAGAAAGCAGGCACAGCATAGCACACGCACCATCATTCCATTTATATAAAGCTCCGCAAAACACAAACCACAGTAGCAGAAGGCGGGTCGTGGGGGATGAAGCAGAAGGGAGGCCGGAAGAAGGGACTAGGAAGGGGCACAAGGGAATTCGGTAATCGTGGTGGTTTCGTGGGTCAAGCTGAACATCACATTGTACCCTTTGTGCAGTTTAAGTCTATTATGTCTCTCTAAGGCTGTTTGAAAAAATATGTGTGTGTATATGATAGAGGAGACTCGGATTAAAAGCACCTGGAGACCTAGAAACCAAATGCCATGTTTGGACTTTGTATCCTGATTCGAGCAAGCTGACTATCAGGTGAAGTTCTGGGGACAGCTGGGGAAATAGTCTGAGTATTAGGTTATGTTGGTGATTGTTAATTTTGTCTCGTAAGACAATGGCACCAAACAAAAACCCGTATCTGTAAGACATAGTTCACTTCGGGTGGCGATGGGTGAAATCTTACAGAGCTTGTGATGTGCTTTGAAATCCTCTAGCACAGTAAAGGAGGAGGGGTGGAAATTCATGAAGACTGTACTTAGGTAAAATACTGATCATTGAAGCTTGATGATGAATACAGCTAGAGGCTCATTACATTTTCTCCTTTTGTGTGCTTTAAAATTCCTCCTAAAATTTCATGTCGTTTTTGGTTTTGTGTTTTCCTCGGGATAGAGTGCAAGGTCTCCCTTTGTTTCAGCCTCCACCGTAGTCCTTCACCCTCACCGTCTGCCTCCCGTCCTGGTTTGAGGTCTGTTATGTGCAGGGTGGCCCTCTGTCCCAGGGTGTCTGGGGCAGTCTTGATCAGCACCTGTTGCTCCAGTATAATTATTAGAGGGCTCTCTGACTCTCAGAGCATCTAACTTGAACGATTAAATGTCACCCTAGTTTTATCAAACTAATTTCCTTCATCTACCTGTGCTTCACACCCATTTGTCTTTAGTAGATTATTCCTTTGTCCAGAATCCCCGTTTCTTCCTCAGTGAGTTCCTTGCCTAACTCCTTCCTACTCACTTTTCCTAGCAAGCTAAGCTCAGGCTTCGTTTCCTCAAAGCCTTCCCTGGCACTCCTCGTCCGCCCTGCCCCGCCCCACCTTACCAGGGTGCCTCCTTTGTGCTGCCACACCGCTCGGGCATGCGCTGCTGTACAGCACTCGATTAAAATACGTCTACTAGTCTGTGCTCCAATTCAGTTAGTGTTTCAACGTTAGGGGAGCACTGTCTTTTCATCTTTGGGGTCCTTGGTGTCTTAATAGTGCTGGCAGTGTCTGCAAAATGCTAGATGAATTCAGCCTTAGCGATTTCCTGACCGAACCCTCTCAGATAAATGAGAAAAACCCAGGCTTGGGAAGGTGCATGCACCTTCCTGAGATCCCAAAGCAGTAGCAGGGTCAGAAGGAGAGCTCACAACTGCATCCCTTCTCCCACACATGGTGATGTGACAAGCGATTTTAAGGGTGCATTAGATGTTGTCCTTTCACAAAGACGGAGTTTATGTATCTAATGATGGTCGTCCTTGGAGCAGAACAGAAAAGCTGTCGGGACCCTGGTAGCAGCTCTGACATGTACAAGAATTAGATGTTGACAATGCTGTAATATTTCAAATGCGTATTAAATACAAAATGCAGTGAGGAATATGACACCTGGCTTTTTCACTGTGTACACTTACTCACCAGAATGCTAAACCTAGGGGGAAACTGCCAGTTCTTCTGATTTTTTAATTGTTTTTTAAGAATCTTCTCACGTGATATGACATGGAAAGTAACGTAGGGTGATAGGGACTTCGTGCATTTAATTTTCTTAAAATACAGGACATCATCTAGAGTACACAGACGTTAACTAGGCTTATTGTGGTCGTTTCAGAATATACACAAACGCTGAATCGTTATGTTGTACCCCTGAAACTAATGTATGTATCAATTACTTTAACTTTTTAAATGTAATAAAATAATAGTCAGCTGTAATATCAAGAGAAGAAGAAGAACGCCGAGAGATCTTGCACTTAATGTCTGTTTTTCTTTGCAATTTTCATAGCGTCGCCTTGGAGATGCAGCCAAGAAAGCCATCAGCAAATTGACAACCAGAACCGTAAAAAAGGGTGACAAGGTACAGTGGTGAAATCACTCTCAATGCTGTACAGACAGCGAAGCATTTTGCCTTTGAATCGGGAGGGAGGGGATGTGCCCTGACCGTTTACTTGGGTCTCGTCTGTTGGATTATCCTTCTTCTCCAAGCGTGCTAGCTGATGCTCTGTTTTGACCAGCTTCCCTTTGAAGTCTTGTTCTTGGCATGCCTGCCATGTGGAGGCCCTCCGTTCAGTTCCCTGATTTTCCTGGACTTAAATGCTCTTGTCATTATAGCTTCACTGGACTACTTACAGGTTCCCTAGCTGTGGTGTCCAGCAGTTTTCTTTCGCTGAAGCCTGGCGTCCTTCAGGGAAGAGCCCTCGAACGTGCGTTCTCTGCCTGTGCTTCCCGCGAACTCGCCTCTGTCTGGTGTTCTGGTTCTTCACCGGTTCGCGAGAGAACTGGCGGCCCGCATTTCAAGGGAGTGGTGGTTAGCAAAGTGTTCTCCGTACGGTGGGCTAAGCAGGTTGAAAGAACACAGCATGGGGCCTGGTGGCTTTGGGGACCAAATCAGAGCAGCAGTGAAAGCGAGAGGCTGCTTGTGGCCGAGACCACCGGCTCGAATTCTCCAGTCGGATCTCAAGTTGCGGTAGAGCCCTGCTTCTGCTCTCTAAGCACAGCACAGCAGCGGGACGTCAGACCCTGTGCTCAAGGTTATCTAGAGTGAAAACACTGCACCTCTGAAGGGATGGAACCAAAATTGTCTTCTGCCCCAAAACCAACTCTGATTTATTTTAACAAGGAGCCCTGGAGGGATAATTACAAGTGCTTCTCCATCCTCTTAAGTTTTACCACGGTTTTGACTTTTCTCATTTTTCTTCCCACTGCCATGACACCCCACGTCTGGTTTTCCATGACACAGCTCCAGAAGGTGGAAGCATTTTCAGTGAACTTCATGGTACACTGGGGAAAGAAGAAAGTAAAAATCCTAACAGAAATACAGGCAGCATTGGAACAGCTGCACTTTAACCCTGGAGGAGGGGTCACCTGTGTAAACGCTTTCTTGACCTGGTGGCCTTCAGCTGCCACGTTAATCTCAATGTCCACAGAGCTGGTCTGACCTGACCATCCTGCTTTGTCCCCTGTGCTAACACAGAACCGTCTTTCCTTATTAAGGCCAGCGCTGCTAGTTTGTGCCTCCTAGACCCGTCAAGAGTTGTCCCACTGAGTTTCAGTCCAAGGGCAGTGATGTGGCAGTCAGTCTTGCCTTTTCTGGCTCAGGCTCCTGGTGGTGCTCCGTTTTATGACAGCTCTGGGGAAGCCTGCCTCAGCCCAGAGGAGGACGGAAGTCAGTGACCCTGGGTGACCAGACACCTGGCAGACTCCTCCTGACTCTTGATAAAGTCCATGATGGTTCCCCACCCCAAATCTGTGACCAGACACACAGCTCCCATCCTTGGAGGGGGGTGGTCTCTGGATAACGGTCTTTTGGGGGCTCTCCATCTTTTCTGTCAGCACTTAGCTATGTGGTCCAGTGAGCCTCCTGATGAGAATCCAGTGAAACCTGCCCAGACCGGAATAGCGATGCAGCAGAGTGAGAAGACAGGAGGCTCCAAGGGGACAGCTGATTTGAATCTTGAAAAAAAATCAGTGTTCTTGTTCT